ATCCCGACATTATGTGAACACAAAACAAATTTGGCTTATTTCGAACAACGGGGTTTGTGTTACGTGGTCAATATATTGAAGCGTCTTCTCCATGAGAGTGAAACATCACCCTACTGTTTCCTAATTGCAAGTCTTCACTGGCCTGACACATCCAAACTTTTCTCAACAACTTCTTCAGGTGGTTTCTGAATTTCACTCCCACAAACGCGTAAAAAAAGGGGTTGAGACAGCAGTGCGAGAAAGCAATCATACGGCAAATGTAAAACCCATAATCAATACCCCTGCTGATTTCACAGTCTGTAAAGGGATGAATTTGATTGTACACTAAAGAGCGCACAAATATTATGACGTTGTAAGGTGCCCACCCTACAAAAAACACTACGACAATAGCAAATATGAGCCTCACCGTCCTGTACCTCGTGTGTGTTCTGGAGCGAAGCAAAGTCTTGAGTATTTGAAAATAACAGAATATAATAATAGAAAAGGCAACTAAGAAGAAAATGTTCTTCTGATATATTTCTGCTAGTTTCCACAATGGACTGTCATACTCACAGTAGGGAACATTTTCATTTTGGTTTAGTTTAACTCTGTGGAAGAGGAGTCCTGGGACTGCTGCTAAGCAGCTCAGAAGCCAAATGACTACAGACGCAGTGATTCCATAGCAACACTTCCTAGACCCAAGATCAGCCAGTGGATGAACTACGGCTAAGTACCTATGAATGGTCATCATTGTCAGAAATATAGTGCTGCTGTAAAAACCAACATCAAAGATAAAGTTTACAGCTTTGCAAACCGATTCTCCAAATGCCCAGCCTTCTGAGTGGTAAGAAGCCCAGAAAGGAAGTCCAAAGGTGAATATCAGGTCTGACAAGGCCAGGTTGAGAATGAAAATGTTTGTGACCGATTTGAGGTTTTCGTATTTTGCCAGAATCCCGAGGACCAGTAAGTTTCCCAGGACACTCAAAACGATCACCAGGGTGAAAAACACTGATGTTATAATGTCACCAAATCTTGAAACGGTTTCCTTATTGCACACATCGTCCTCATAATAATCATTGTACTCATACGTGGAAAATTGATTTTCTACATAACCAGCTGTTGTGCTCAGCTGTTCGCTGGAAGTATCCATCTCACTGAAAGCAAGAAAAAACATGTTGAAAGTATAAGTTCATAATAGGTACAGTAGTGACAATAACAGCTTGTACAGTCAGAGGATTACCATGCACTAAAACATAAATCGCTCTTGCCTGACTTTAATCTGTCACATTTCAGAAATATATTTTTTTATCTGTTTTAGGGTTTTAGAAACTGAGATATAGTTAGTTACTTTTTATTATTTTTCCTATATACTCAGAAGACATAAGACTTAAGACCTAAGCCTAAAGTGCAATCATCTAGTTTTATATGATCTTCTATGGTACACAACTCTAACTTTATTGCTTTAAATGCTAATTATATAATATATTAATATATCACAGTAATTTGCAATTCCAAAAAACATTCAAAAAAAGAGATGAAAATATTAAAATAAGCTAAATGTATCAGTTACAATATATATGATATGTTAGTATGATAGCTGCTTTACTTATATATTGTCTTCTTTTCAAAACAATATAAGAATAAATGTAATAGCTCTGCAACACAAAGTGTATTTCTACCTTTCTCTTCTGATGTGCAATCTTTCTTTTAAAAGGAAAGACTCCTGAGCAGAATCCTCCCCATATGTCTCACAAAGTACATCTTTCTGCAGAAGATGGGAGTTGTTGTTTTGTAGGTATGGTATATATATAGGTTTTTCCAGGTGAAACTGTACTGTACTTCCTTTTTTAAAGCTTATTAAGAAAAAAAAACAATCCTTCAAATGCCATGGACTGTATAAGGCTAGAATATTATGTGATGCGTTTTCTATGTCTTCGCAAAACAGTATAAAATAACTTCTTACAGAATTGTACAAATCTACACAACTGCTAAAGCATGATTATCTCAACCCTCAACTCAGTTACAGCACAAAACCTTTTTTCTTTTCAAAAGCAGACATATATTTGCAACATTAATTACTATACTCTAAAGCCAAATGCTTGCATGAAAATGTACAATATAGAATTTTAGTATAGTGTAGTCTTATCTCCTAACCAGTTTATTCAAACCAATATCTTCGGGTTATTGAACCTAAAGTGACATCAAAATACACTTAGGTAATTAAACGTGCTGTTTGCTCAGGAAACACCGAGAAAAGGCAATTAGCTGGAACTTGGTGTTTATGTATGGGACACCCCCTTAATATACAGAATCACAGTCTTTATAGGAAAGTAAACAGATTTTGAAAAATATCAATAAAAGGCAAGGGGTGACCCTTGTATGCAACATTATGACTGTTGGCTCACAGCTCAGATGTTGGTTGTAATGGATTGTGATGATAATAACTCATTGCTTTGCTTATGTATGACTTTTTCAATCAGAAAAGAATCCTCAAATGCTTTACAATTAGTTCATCTACAAATCAAGTGTATCACCCATGGGGCAGTCATTAGGCGTTAGCAGTCCCAGCTGCACAGCACACGAGATAGAAAAGTGACAAGGTCACTTTTATTGACCTTTTGACCACGATATGGCCAGCAACCCACTGAAGATAAGCAGGTGTGAGCCTGGTCAGTACCTGGATGGGAGACCTCCTGGGAAAAACTAAGGTTGCTGCTGGAAGTGGTGTTAGTGGGGCCAGCCGGGGGTGCTCACCCTGCGGTCCGTGTGGGTCCTAATGCCCCAGTATAGTGATGGGGACACAGTCGAGGGGGTCAGTACTAAGCGATTTTACAGTTCTCCCATAAAAGGCATATGCGATGATTGAACCAATCGTCACCTAAAACATAACCTGAAAGTCTGATTAATGATTGGTTCATACAGCTACTGTATTTACAGGATTTGTTTTCATTGTGGTAAGACGTTTGAATTGTAAATATTTATTATTTGGAATGTGCACTTTGGAAATTGAGAAAACAGAGCACTTTCATTTCAGTGTTTTGCCCTGTAACATCCCCTATGAAAGTGAGAAAAGTGATCTGTAGCTCTGGACAGCGACCACAAAAATAGGGATCTAATTGTGAACAGTGTTCAAAACAAAACTGTCTATGGTGCAACACAAAAAAACAAGCTATGTGATTTGATGAAGGAAATGTATCACATGATAATTCTTCAATAAGCGTGCCCTCACCCTGGAGAGCTACAGTCAAGTAGGTCTTTATAGATCACCATTTTTATAAAGACTTGGTACACTGCGGTTACCAAGAAATACAGGGTTCATCGACCATTCCACAAGGTCAAGTGTATTGTAAGTACAGGACATTGTATTCTACATATTGATACACGTTTCTGGGACTCAAATACGTAGCACTTTTGGAACCACAACGCATACACAATAGAGGCCATATTCTACTCTTTGTTATCAACAAAGGATAACAGGGACAGTTACTGCTCTGAATCAGGCATCTCCAACTGTGCTGAAAAGAAAAAAAAAGAGACATAAGGCTCTTCAGGTGTGACAGATTGATATGAGAAGGCTCCTCAGCTGAAATGTTGTGTTTCTTCCCTTTTCCACATGGAATAAACCTTTACTTGTTCCTTTGCAGCCTACGCATGCTAACGCAGCTACCTACTTGAACATCTCCAACTGTGGTTAAAGGGGAGGCCTAAACCAGGATGGTTACTAAACTTACCCTGAACCACATGTTTGCAAAGACTGGAAAAAAACGTTTCAGTTATAAATCAATTAAGCAATGTGCTCAATTACAGGAACTATGCTACTTGAGATCTGTCATTTTCTATCCCTATTGATTTCCAAACACTTCTGAAAGGTATCACTTAAATTGTTTCAAGATTGTAGAAATTTATGCTTCAATAATTCTTTATAAGACGTGTGAAATTGAGACCCTCCATGGGTCCTCCACATCAACAGCTGAGGTCAATTTCATGCTGAAAAGTAAAAGCAGTGAAATTAGTGCAATGTTTCAGCTGCACAGCATGTGAAGTCTAACAGACCTCAAGAAGTCTCCACATGCATTTAATTTTTTTTTAAATTTTCGGTGTGGAATTAATCTCTCTATCCATATTTATATGTACACTGGTTCTCCATGGTTTTGTGCTTATCTTAATATCTAACTTTAGTAGATGTATGTCAATCTTTTGCAGAAGAGTAGTACCTGAAACTGCAACGTGTTCAAAAGGCATTTATTTAGTAGCACTTCAATATTCAATATTGTGCATTGCCATTATTAGTCACAGCTGACCCATGAGTAACTTTGTCCAAACGATTTATTCAACTCTTCAGACTGTAATATATGCACGTAGTTTTGTTTAAAGGCGTCTCCCAAAATGATGGGTTTTTTTTTCATGAACGTTAGACAGAAATGACAACAAAAATTAAATTAGAAAACCCTTTTTAATAGCTCAGACTACATGTGAAAAAGAAGCAATAAATACACCGATCTTGACAGCTTGTTGTAGATACCCAAAACACTTCGCAATTTCGGTGTTGCTGTCACTTGACTTCAGTCATCATATTCATACTGTAGGAGCCAACCTGTCACATGACTCCTGTTTATCTGGGGCTCGTTAACAACCAAACTATGGAGGGAATCAATGTTTCTGATTGGCTGGGGAGTTGAATTCTTTCATTTTGATTCGGTTCAACTAGTGTCAATCAGATAATATTTCCCACCCCCCTTGAGTAACAAGTTTGTCTTTGCTGCAAAGTACAGTAAGTGAACTGCTGGGAATCATCTACTTTGAAGTATGTTAAAAGTTTGTTTTCTTTTTTTTTCTTTTTACTATCTCGTGTGTGTGGCTCGATCAATAACTTCCTACCTTGTTCAATTAGTTGTCAAGAGTGTGTTATCCACATTACATACTTTTTTGCTGGCACGATTGTCGCTGCTAGTGGCAGAAGACAGACACTTCGGGTTTAGGAGCAATAAATTTTAATTAATTTTAGCTCTTAATAGTTTATGTTGTTTAATTGGTTTTTAATCGGTCCGACGCTCTTAAGATCTTATTTCAGTCTGATCTTTTTAATTTTGTTAGAGACGTATGCTCTAAGCAGCTTTCCTTGTTGCGCACATTATTTCTAACTAAACTGGTTTGTCTGTTCACAGTTGAATACAATTGCCTTAGTTTTGTAGATCATTTCCATTAAAGGATAAAGGAAGAAATATGACGTTTACCTTTTAGGCTGTAGGAAATGCGGATAATGTACATATGTGAAATTTGCAGGATATGCTAGGCACAGTTCCCATCAAATCAAGCCAAAATTATGTCAGGTCAGATATATTCAATACGTCAGCTGTATAGTATAGCTGAAGAGAAACTTCACAGGTACTATATTTCGTATATATACTGTTAATTTTCGTCCTCTTTACGGTTACTGACAGAAAAGTGTGCTTTGTTGTATGTTTTCCACGAGCCTGTCCAATATGGGCACGTTTTTGGAAAAACAAAACCAGGAGGCTTCATTTCTCACCCTGGCCGTGCTGCTGCCTGATCGGCAATGAAAACGTGCGGTTATGATTGCATCCACCGTCCTAACTAGTGATCGTGTGTGACGCGAGTTCAAAATAACACGCTGGAGCTTGGAAATCACCTTAAGAAAAGCTTTACCTGTTTGTGATTCATTACTTCCGTAACCTTTACGGGCACGCGTCGTGTCTACCGCGTCAACACTCAAAAGGTGCAAGATCTTTAATGTACGATTTGCAAAAAAAAAAAAACCACACACAAAAACGAGTAACAGATTGTAGTGGTTTTATATATGTCACATAGAATATAAACGTTTTGATTTACACCCTCCAATGTTTTGAAACTTCATTTGTTATGGAATCCCATCGTTTATTCGTTATTGCTTGGTTTAGATCGTTGTTTTTCTCCCCCCAAATTGTGGTGATTTATGGTAAGTTCTAATTAAACCGTGTCCTCCATCCCGGACCTACGGTGCGATCTTGAACCTCACACAGTGTTTGTATGTTGATCTCGTGTTCGCGTGGGTTTCCTCCCACAGTCCACAGACCTACGGGTAGGTGAGTTTTTTTATTATTATTCTGAACCTGAGCTAAAGAACAATCCAACACCAGCAAAAACAACACAAAGTGCAACCCCATCCTCCCTCTGATCATTGACTTCTCCATCGTGAAACTGGCTGCCCGGAAAACTGGCCCTGGTGCGAGTGTGGCCGTGTGCGTTCTTGCACTGTGTGTGCCCCGCCATGGACTGGCGTCCCGTCCAGGGTGTAATCTGCCTTGTGCTCGTTGCTTGCCGGAATAGCCTGCGTCTACCCCCCCGCGACCCCGAATTGGATAGACTGGGTAGAAAAAGCATCGATGGAGATCGGTTCAATTTCCGGTCTTTATTGTGCGTATGTTATTTGCACTTATGTTATTGCAACAAAAATTTAACTCATTTTCTGTCACACAGGATAAACAGGTGTGCACGCTAGGCGTAGTGGGAGAATTGATAAAACTACCGCCTTAGTAGAAACCTACAGTTGAAGGACATTTTAAAGATGAGTTGCGAAAAATAGATTAGAAAAGTTGGAAATACAAGATTGCAGAAAAAAAAAAACAGACCTTATTAAAGTGTCTCTTTAGAGTCATGCATCTAGATGGAGAGGTCACATGATTTCAGAATAAATACATTATGAAGTACCCCAGTCAATTTGAAGCAGATTTTAAAAAGTAGAACCACAAAGTTAACCTCAGAGCAATTTATGTTGCATATTTTTTTCAAATTAAACGAGACACTTTTTAGTGGTATCAGAAAACAACCTGTAGACCTGCTGATCCAGCAAAACTGCACAAATAAAATTGTACTGTTTGTTATGCCACTCAAACTGCACCAGGATTCACAGCAGTTTAATTGCCATAGCACATATCTCACATATTCGTTGCACACTTAGGAGTTTTGACAAAAGAAGTGTACCATAAAAACAGAGGTTTTCGGCTTTATCTGCGGTTGCTCTTTCAGTTATACAGAAGGGGCTTGTGATGGAGCTGGGAAAGGCGGATGAAAAGCGATGGATTTGCTGTTGCTTTGTTGCCGATGTGCTGAGTGAGTGTGTTTCTCTGGTTCAGCAGGTCCTGGCTCAGTGACCTCTCAGATGTGTGAGCTGCATGATGGCTGCGTCAGTTGGGGAGAGCCAGCTCCAGAGGATTATCCGAGATCTGCACGGTATGGCGATATGCTTCGCTCCATCTGTCCGTTCGGGGGCGGCTTTTCCAGTATTCGTAGAAGCTGGTTTCCTCACTCTGGGAGAGGAGGGGGATGGGCATTCAGGGTTAAAGACGACTGTTATTTTTTGTCACAAGTACTGACCAGTAAGCATGCTGGAAATCACATCGGCCTGCGGTTGGTCTGTGGGCTCAAGTTCAAAGGAGTATAAGCACTGTAAGCTTTAATGCTTTACGGTGAGAGATGGAAAAATGTATCCTGTTGAGATAGGGCAGGGGTGAGAAGGAGCAGATACATATGTGGACTTATAACTGGAAGGTAATGGGCTCATATCTCAGGCAGGGAAAGGTTTTCCAATGTCTTCCATAAAGTACCCTGCTGTCAACAATGAATACAGGTGAATCCAATTGCTTTGCATAAAGATGTCAGACAAATAAATGAATTATAATAAGATAAAGGTCACAAGGAGACTAAAGGTGAACCTTAGTGGATATTCCCTTAAATTTTCATGAGGTCAGTGTACCCACTGGTCAAGTGGTGCCGTTGTTAAAAAGAAGTGTAACAATTATGAAGTAAGGATCACAAAAAAAATGCATTTGGGCCCTAAACATGGAAAGAATGTAATTATCCATCAATTGTAATGTAGGCTACTCTTTAAACTGTTTAGGTTTTCGCTGTTGTAGACGGTATTGGGACCATTTAGGCCTGTGATTTGACGTGCTTCTCTTTAAAGGGCCAAGGTTGCAGTGATCACTGGTCGCTGTCGTGCTTCAGTCATTAATAATCAGAGTACTTGGCACCTGATTATTTTACTTTGCTGCAAAGTTTTTTATCTTATAGAGAGAACAATCTAATAAATAGAGTAAACCTCAATCTTTTAATTTTCAATCATTTGTCTTAATTCATTTGCACCAAAAGTAAACCTTTTCAAACACATGAAGTTACTCTTTAAAATCCAGCTCAAGGCCTCCTGAGTGCAGGCTGGGCTCTTTGATCATGGGTCTGAGCCCAGGTTATGTCAATACCCAATTGGGGCTGAGATTCCTCAAGCGTACACTTTGATTAGTCTGTTGGAGGTTCTTCTCAAACTTGGCCCTAACGTATGTTAAAACTTGGCCTCCTGGGAACTTGCAGGCATGCAGTGCCGTCATTCCGGTTTGCACTAAACCTCAGGCACGTTGCTTTCGGACCTGCGATGTGTTAAAACCTGCTCAAGGGGTGGTGGTTTGGAGGAGTCTGCTTGTGCTTCCTCATTCATATCATTGGTGTCCTATTTAATCCATCTAAAAAGTAAATACTTTGAAAGTAACTTATTTGAAGGTTAGAGCAGAGAAGCATTAATTCAGTGTTCCATCCTTTTGCAATATAATCTCAAGATCTTTGGTGCTGTTGAAAATATAATTCTTTAGCATTGGAAATAGTAAGTCCAATATAGAGGCTCAAAATATCCTACAAAAGAGATAAAATTACTATGTAGGATACTACATAGGGATTACGACCTGTACTTCAAACGTTTTGGCTTTTGGTTGATTCCTAGTGCCCAGTTTCCTAATTGTCTTTCTCGTTTCTCAAATGTAGATGCGGTGACAGAGCTGAGCAAGGAGTACAGAGAAAGTGGAGAGCCAATAACTGACGACAGCCCTAACCTGCACAAGTTTTCTTACAAATTGGAGTATTTATTGCAGGTATGTTTGTGTCACTGAACTCTAAGAATTGTTAAGGTATTGTACCCTGGCCTGCACAGCAGGATGCAACAAGCCAGAAATTGTAGCCTGACGGGCTCATGTCCCGCTCCTCCTGATATGTCATCAATAAAACCAATGTAAATGTAATTCAGAAATACTTTAGACTGATACAAAGCTAAGATGCTTTGGAAAAATGCATCACACAAAGAATAATACTTCAGAGAAGGGGAAAAGGTGTGATCCTAGCTGCAGGTTAATTTTAGTTTCTGTAGTCTTTCTGATATGATGATGATGATAATAATAATAATAATAATAATAATAATAATATTATGTTATTATCATATAGCGATTAACATGTTATAAAAAACGATTACAATAATAAGCACTATTTCTTGCATGTAATATTGGATTTCCGGAGATTAGGTGTGACAATTTTTGTTTATTTTTTTATAAGACAGTATTTGAACGGGATGAAAGTACTCAGCTTTAGGTTTTTCATGTTGTCCTCAAGGTATACTGTACTTATGAAGCACTAGGTTACTGAAAAGTCTGTTTGCTATATTAGCAATTAAATGGAACCCCTTTCTTTTCTTCTGCTTTTCTGATCAATTAGAAATGCAGCTTTATTGCAAAGGGACAGGGAGCAGCTGGTGCAGCACATTAACTTGTATGGTAAAAGTTTACACTACTCAACATTTGACTTTTAACACATTATTTAGTTTGACCAGAAGGAAAAGACAACTTTCCTCGGGACAAGGAAAGACTACTGGGATTATTTCAGTGACTGCCTGACCAAGATAAAAGGAGCTAATGATGGAATCCGCTTTGTCAAGTCCATCCCAGAGGTAAGAAGATCTTCATGGGGACTCAGTCAGTAATGCATTGCGTTTCATCCAACGTATTTTGTTAAACAGGAACTGGCCACATTCTGACCAGCATGCCCTTGGTTTTAAAGTTATGTATGATCCTTGTTTCATTGGCTGGTAAGCAAATAAAAAAAATTGTAATAGTCAGATGGGAGGTTGGTAAAGCATTTATTTCTCTGACATTCAGTGCTGATGCTACAGTCCGGAGACTGAATGTTGTGCAGTAACAATGTCAAGAAATGAAATGCAGGCAACAGTCTGCATTTTAAGTGTTTCATCAATGGGAATATAGAGATAGTCAATAGAAATAGTCCTTTTGTGATTCACAACAGTGTAAGAATTATTTTTAGAGATTTTGGGGATCAGATTAGCTGATTATCTGTAATCTTTACAGGTTTAGGGCAGATTTACTCTAGTTTTGTGTTGTATTATTAAAAAAAACACTTCATTAATGTAACATGTAAATCAATTAATTTACTTTTATTTATTAATTTTAACAGAAATATTTAATGAGTAATTTGTTAGGAATAAGCAAATTCTGTTAACCTTAATTCTGTGTGAACTAAGATTCAATTCTCCATTAAGTCTCTGCAGAATTATTCCATATCTCACTTTGCATACTACATTTTCTTACATACTAGATATTGCAAGTCATCTATGTTGTACAAGAAAAATTGAAGACCCTTGCATATTTCTATCCACTCCTTTTTGTGCCATCAGACCTGATGTGATCGTGATTACAGTTGCAAACTGTATTGTCTTCATTTCCATAATTAGACTATACTTAAATAGTAAAACTCATTGGAATAATTGAATTGCTTGTTTTAATATAGTTTTTTATAAGAAATATTGGTCGGTGTAGTAATTAAACTGTGCAATGCATTATATATAATATTAAAATGAATTGCATAAACTGAGTTTATAATGGACAGTAGTAGTCACACACTGTTAGTACTTACTGTGTTCCTCATTAGCATATAGCTCATTAGCATGCTCCATTTTGAGGTTTCTGATGACCTGTTACCAGACATCATATGAAATGTTGCCGTTTTTCGGATACATGCATTAGAATGAGCATGTAATGTGTTGTTTACGGACAACTAAAGTCTCATTGAGGTCCTGTGTCATTTTAGAAAGTTGTTTATGTGCTGGTGGGGTGAAGCCACATGTGGATTCTTAGTTTTTTTTTTTTAAGATACCCATAACGTAGCAGCAATTTCACTAGAGTTAGGATAAGGCAAGACTTCCTGAAAGATTGGTTTTAGTTGGCCAATCAATTATAAGTTGTTGTTTTTTTTAAGAATGTTTATAAGCTGCAGCATTGAGGCCTTTAATACCTAAGAATATATTGAGCTTTGCATAAAAACCTCACCCCCTCCCCACCTACCCAAGCATAAAGCTGGTAGAAGCGCCTTTGACTGCAGTTGCAACTGTGAGCCTTTTTGGGCAGCTTTGCCACGCTGGGATGGAGCAGTTTTCCCCCATTTTTCTTTGTTATTGTGCTCAAGCTGGTTGAGGATGGACAGCAGCAGTGTTCAAGTCTCGCCACGGGTTTCCTGTTCGATTCAAGTCAGGACTTTGACTGCGCCACTCCAGGACTTTCACTTTCTTTTCAAGCCACTCCAGTGTAGCTTTTGGTTATTGTACAACAGAAAGGTGTTTTTGCCTTTCTTTATATGGTATACGTGTTTATTGCTTATCTTCTTTTAAAGTAATGTTTGTTTTCTTGCGTCAACACTGTATAGTGTTTGTTTTGCACGGTAACTTGACCAATCTTTTTCTTTGAGTGTGCTTCCTAACCACAGTCTACGTCTGTGCAGTTCCATCCCGAAACTAAGAAACCAGACTTTTTTTTTCTGGGCTTCAAAATAGAAGCCCACATCTCACATCTCACACCACCAACTTCTTTGGAAAAGCTCGTTGAAGTTCAAACCACAACTGTGATGGAAATGCGTAAATGATTTCTGATGCTCCCTGAGTCATTCCCACCAAAACATATTGGGAGTGAGTACAGAGTACGGCAATGATAATAAAAGAAACAAAGTTTAAAGCATAACAGAGTTTAAATATATATTTAGATGTTTTTGTGCACTAGTGAGCATTTACGAAGTATGACTATCTAACAACTAACTTCTGTATTTGCTCACTCACTTATTGAATTGAACTTATGAATATCCGTTTCCCATCATATAACAGCTTTTTTGGCTTTACCATTTCAGATCATAGCATTACACCATAACATTCATGTATGGAGCAAATACATTTATGTTGGATGTTCATTTGTACTGTCTTCTTTTTCAGTTCAAGACCTCTCTGGGCAAAGGAAGAGCTTTCATCCGGTACTCCCTGGTACATCAGCGCCTGGCAGATACTCTTCAGCAGTGTCTGATGAATGAAAAGGTCACAAGGTAAAGGGAGGATCGGTCCTGGGCTCCCAGTAACTGTCAGAAGTCTTTGACATGAATCAGAGGTGGCCTTGTTAAAACCTTCACACACATCAAAACATGTGTGTTCCTCCTCATCTCCTCGCAAAACATCATTAAACGTATTTAAATAGGGAACCCTATCAAGAGACGATTAGAGCTTTATATTTTTAAAGAATAGTGCAAAACCACTATTTTTTTATGGGACACTAGCAGATCACCCACTGAGATAAGAAAATCCATAAACATTTTGGATTGGGACACTATGGCTTCGTTGCTATGGCAAAGAAGATCAAGGATTTGCTCTTGCTGTTTAATATGTAACCTGCTAATAAACTGTTTTAAGTTATCAAATGCCCAGGATATTACAAGATGTTCCGAATACTTCATGCCCTCAATATTACTGGGAGAAGGTCACTTGCTTTACAGTGAAATGTAATGATTTACAAGTAATTTGAAACCACTTCATTCTTACTTCCTTAGCTTTGTTTTGCTTCCTTAAGAGAAAGTAAAAACAAGAAGTCTTCGGCTCTTCTGCTTTTTCACGTCTCCTTTGTTACGGGAACAGATAAATCAGTCGCTTGCAGACTAAAACTATGGGATGATTTGTTATGTACACTTGACAGTTTCATGCTCTTTTAAAGTTTTTCTATAATACCTTAACAAACTCCCAAAATGTGCCTGCTCATTTGTAATTCATCTCTTTGGATTTACCATAAAGACCGGTGTATCCACCTTGTAGCCTTATCTTGGATCTCTGCATATCTTTGTAGCTAATTGCTAATTAAAGGCTGGTCAATGCTGGGAAGGGAATCCTCAACGAAAAATGTGTTTAACTCTTAGTTTAACTAATGCCTCAGTATAGAGACCAGGGATCCTGTGCTATGTCATATTTTAGATAAGACCTTAAACCAAGGTTTTGCGCGCTTGTGGCACTGTTAGTGAGTGAAAGATTGCTGGACATATTGTACAGTGGGTTTGCACGTATGCCCCCCTTAAATATCCTGCTTAATTCAACTGATGAAGCAGCTTTTCTGCCTAACGTGCTGTGTAGTGGGGCTGCTGGCACACGGATGGACGCAGTGCCATCATATACGGAGTATGAGGCACTATGGAATCATAGGCGCATTTTATAAAATATAAAATGCATTTTACACTACAGTGGTTGATTTGTCAGATGGACTTACCATGGACTAGTTTTCCAAGTATTCAGTAAGCTTATTAAATTCACTGCGGCCTAGCTGTTCACTATTGATATTCATTATTCAGATTCTTTAAAGTTCTTCCCGGGTCTGTTGGTTGCTTTTGTTGGCTTAAAATGACAGCAGCACTACCAGCTTTTAGCCTGATCTTGTCAGATCTTGTCAGATCTTAGGAAGAAGGGCATGGCTGGGCTGAGAATGTGCAGCCAGGCTGCTTCTATAAAATACGTGACCAACCAAACTCTTTCATTTAACGATCGCTGAAATAATAGATTTGACATTTTTTACTAAAACAGGCGAAAATTGGAGTGCAGTTGGCCTGTGACAGCTGCTGCTTCATCCCTTCGTATTGTGAACAATGGTGTGTCGTGAAGACCCCGAAGGTGTCTGTTGATGTTGTGATCCAAAAGAGTTGTTCATCATGTAACTGTTTATGATCTTGTTTAGTTTTTTATTTTATTGCTTTGTTTGTTTCTTCGTGTATTTTACCTCTAGTGACTGGTATTATGCTCGGAGTCCATTTCTCAAGCCTCATCTCAATGTGGACATCATTAACCATCTTTATGAGCTGAATGAGGTTCAGTTTGACATTGCTTCAAGGGGCTACGATCTAGATGCCGCCTGGCCAACATTTGCAAGGTAACCCTAATAGTTTCTCTCTCTTTTTCACAAAGTAAAAGATAATCCACATTTTTTTAATACACTTATTTAAATTGGGAATATGAGCAATGCATAGTTACTGTCAAATAAATTACATACTTATTTAGGGATGAAAGCATAAATACATCACCAGATCTTGCTGTCATTTCCTTCAGGGAAGCACTATATTTCCATCTTAAAGTTTTACAAGCTTGAATGGGGTACTGTTTATGCAAGTATTAGTATTTGTAGGAACGTTGTTCCAATGGATGTACAGATGCCGTAGGCTGTTTTTAGTAGTTTAAACTCTGCGTGTTGCACTCATACTTTCTCTATACAGTACTTAGTTGTTCAGTTTCCATGGGTCTATTGTTCTATTTCTAAATTAGATGAAGCAGAAAAACAACATTTAAAACATAATTACTGCCATTATTCCAGAGAACCTAATCATTCAAGTAATGTAAGCCTGTGATTATAATGTACTATTTTGTGTGATGCATTTCTGTGTTTAACATTAACGACTTCGAATCCCTTTCTTGAGTTTGAATTATTATTTGCTTTTCCTACTCTGCGGGTACAGTCCTCCACCTAGTGAAGGAGTCGTGCTTTGCATTCTAGTTCTGTTTGCAGTGGCGCTGGTATCTAATCATGGAATGTATAAAACTACTAACATCCCTGCCACTTGGTTGTCTTACATTTCTTGATTAGATGTTTGGATTGCCTTCTACAGGTGTACAAATAGCAGAAAGTTCAGGTATTAAACATGTCTTGTTTTTGAAATAAATATTGCATGAAGTATATTATCAGGTTTTGCATTAAAAAGCAAATTATGCCAGCAAGTTGTTCCATTACAAAAAATACACCATTAAATTACAGTTCTGAGAGCTATTTTAAGTGAGAAATACATTTTTGCAGTTATGCATCCGGCATGCTCCTTATTTTGTATCACGGTTTCTCTTTTTTTCTTTCTGTGTGCCTGTGTCTGTGTGCTAGTTCCTCCTCTTAACTGAAGCCCAGGATGGTTTTTCCGCACTGATGGAGGATCTTAGCCTTTTAAACCTGAGACAGGAAAATGCCACGAAAGAGTAATTGATTGATCTGTATTTCTCTGCATGCAGTTTGTACAGCCTTGCATTTCTGTCAAGTCAGCCACACTCTGTAAGGGTGTAGCGTGCAGAAATAGGTGGGGACTGTGGTTAGACTGGTCACGGCTAATAATTTGTTAATTTGTACACGGACATCACTCTGCGGTTTTGGTAGCTGGTTCGTAGTCATTAGTTTTGAGCAGGAAAACTTTTTACATTCTTTTTTTTCCGTCTAGGAGAACGCTGGGCCTGGCAAATTCTCCATCGCACTTTTGGAAACCGCCAAGCCGCAGCTCCAGCATCAGCAGTTTGGTTAGCGGCTACTCGCAGGTAAAAGTTTCCGTTTGTGTCCATCTCCTTCTGGAGATTGTTGCCTGTTGAGTGAAACCATGGTATTTTAATCAGGTAAGGCAGATAAGAGGGCACAGTCCTGGCATCCACGTTTCTACCGTGTGCATAAGAAGAAGGCATTGAGTTCCTGTGCGAGTTATTTGAAAACATACTCATGTGGACTCATGTTATCTGTTCAAGGATGCCAAGCTGTGGACAACAAAAGGATAAGAATGAACAGTATTAGCACCGTCGTCTTAAAGTATATTTGTTTACAGGCCTGTAGAGAATATGCACACGTGTGACCTGTTATTAATTCATAAGGAAATCTGCCCCCCCAAAACTACTGCTGGTGTAGTATTATTGTCACTCATGGGAATTATCTGCGTGTTTAGTGAGATTCTTTGCAGATCCATCCTAGCCGTTCTACGCCTCCAGATAACACTTATACATACGTTTGGCCTGGATTAAATCAAAACTGACTCGGCAGCCTTCTGCAGAATTCACACCTGCCACTGGGTAGTAGCATTCTGTTTGACTGGAGCTTCTTGCTTCCCATCCAAGTTAATGACTGGGTTTGTAATTTGTGCTTGGTAAGTAGATAAAAGTTTGTATTTAATCAGGTTTGTAGTCTGAAACTATCCCAGCACCTATTGTGCGTGCATGCTACTGTATCACATTATTATTCCCTCAATATTAAAATACCAGGTCATTTTTTTTCTCTTCAGGCACACGATATTCCTTCTAGTCCTGATTTTAACCACACTTTGATGAGCGAGCCCACAAGTGAGGTGGATGACCTGCGCCTTGAGCTTGACCAGTCCGAACTGAAACAACGGGAACTTCAGGACAGGATCCAGCAGCTGGAACGGGAGAAGCAGAACCTGCTGAAAGCTAGCAACGTCCAGGACGGGCTCCCAGAACATGAGAGTAACCTTGGGCAAGACAGCTCCCAGCTGAGGAAAATGGTGGAAGACCTGCAAAAACAGCTGGAGGTTGCGCTGTCTTCCCAAAGGACCGTTCATGACCTGCAGCAGTGTCTGAAAACTCTGGAGGACAACTCATCTGAGAAGCAGAGGGAGCTGGAAAAAATCAACAAGGACTACGCTATCCAACTGCAGGTATTAACCCAAGAGCTAGAGTCCCTCAGGGTTAAAGAAAGTTCTGCCAGTGACCTCCAGGCTAAGATCGGTAGCGTAGAACAAAAGAACGTGGAGCTCCTGGCTAAGCTTGACGGGGTCTTAAGTGAAAAGGGCCAGCAGATAGCAAGAGATTATGACTCGGCCCAGAAGATCCACGAGCTACTGGACAAGCTGAACAAAGCTGAGAAGGAGAAGACTGAGGCACAGAAGCAGAGTGAGGAGAGGGGAAAGTGCGTCGAGAAACTGACAGAAGAGCTGAGCCTGAAACACGCCGCAGCGAGGGAAAGTGAGTTAAAGCTCGGCATGCTTTCGGCAACAGCAGAGGAAGAGCGTTCTAAAGTTGTCAGGCAAGTTGAAGACCTTAAAGCTGCCATAGAAAAGTTACAAGGCGCTCTTACAATAAAGGAGAAAGAATCTTCGAATTTACAGATGCAGTTGCAGGATGCACAGAGTTACTCGGAAACGCTAGAAAAGAAGACTGAGGAGCTGAAGAAAAAGGCTTTGGAGGAAAATACAGAGTTGCAACTGAAGTATACCAATGTGAAAGAAATCCTTGAAGGACAGATATCTTCTCTCACTGAACAGCTGAAGGCCAAAGAAAAAGAGTTTTCAACCAGCAATAAAAATGTCCAGCATTTGGAGGAACAGATCAAAAGGCTTATTAACGAAAAGGAAGGTCTAAATAACACTGTTCTCGAGTTAGAGGCAAACGTGAAGGAGCAGTCAATACAACTGGAGGATTATAAAACTGAATGCACAAACCTGAAGGTACAAAATGAAAAATTTCTTCAGGCTGCGAAGAGGAACGAAGATTTAAACAAGGAACTTATGGAAAACAGAGCAGCCCTGGAAGATCAGCTAGCTTGTCTGAGGGCATCCGAGAAACAGTTGAGGAGTCAAATTGAAGACGCCAAAGTTTCAGTGGATGAGAAGGAAAAGAAACTCAGGGAAGAGAACAGACATTTAGATGAGAGCTATCAGAAAGCTGTAATGCAAAACGAAGTATTGGAAGAGGGATTAAAAAAGCTGGAGGTTGAGAATGAAGAACTGAAGCAAGAACAAGCCAATCAGAAGGAGACGTTTTCTGCTCGGCAAGTAGAGCTGCGCAGTGCGAAACATATGGTTTCAGAGCTAGAAAAGAATATTACGGCATTGAAAAGCAGTGAGAACTTCCTACAGGAGCAGCTTCAGTCCAAATGTAGCCTTCTGGAAGAGAAGGAACAGTTGTGTGATGAGCTGTTAGGCAAAATTGAGATGTATGAAAATAAGGTAAAGGAAATGGAGACTGAGAAGTCCAAGGCAGAGACCGTATGTGCCCAGCAGTCCGAGTTAATTGCGTCAATTACAGCACAGAAAGCAGCAGTAGAAAAGGTACAGCTGGATCAGAAAGCAAATATAGCCAAAGAGGTGAATGATGTGAAAACAAAACTGTTAGTGACGGAGAATCAGCTGGGACTAAATGTGCAAGAGGTTTCAAGACTGCAGGCGGAGGTTCTAGATCTCCGATCTAAAGTTCAGAGCGTCTCCGACGACAAGCTGAAAGCTCAGGCCAAGTTGGATGTGACCGAGGCGTCGCGCGATGAATTCAAAATCCTGACAGAGCAGCTGAAGGAGCAGATCGAGCAGCTTAACCGGGAGCACGTCCAGGAGCTGTTGAGCTGCAAAGAAAAGGAAGAGCGTTTGAGGAAAGAGAAAGAATGCGAAACTGCAGCTAAGGCTGACCTTGAGAAGGACGTAGCTTCCTTGAAAGAGCAGTTGGCAACTCTTAAGAAACACAACGAAAAATTTGTCTTGGAAAACACAGAGACTAAAGAATGCCTTCACAGGGCGAACACTGAAATGGCGGAGCTTGGCATTCAGATTTGTACCCTGACGTCGGAAAATGAAGATGCCAAACAAAAGTGGACCAGCATTTCTCATCAGCTGCAGGAGCTGAATGAAGAAGCTGCAAAAGAGATGGACAGGTTGAACGCCAGCATGGCTGCCCTCAGGCAGGAGAACGATAGTTTGCAGGAGGAGCTAAGGCAGTCTGAAAGCCTTACATCCACCATCCTAGACTTGCAGTCAAAGTTGGAGAAAGCTGAAAGGCAGGTGAAGAATCTCCAAGACTCATCTAAAGAAGAGGTTTCTGCTGTAAAGTTTCAAATGAGCAGTGAGATCATAAATCATCAGAATCAGATCAAGGTAACCGGAAGCTGTTGGTAGACTTAATGCAAATGTGGATCATTCATAAAAAATGTCAGTCAAAATGCACAATTCAGACTTCTTGCATGTGAAGTCTCCAAAGCAAATACTCATGCTATTTGAGAACCCTCTCCGCTCTGCCCCATGGCCGTTTTTGAGTTCCGAAAGTCGCAAGTGCTTCAACATATTTGTGTGGCACTTCCTGTGTTTTTTTAGCTTTGTAAAGTGCTTAAACATTTCCATTTTTGGAAAACGAAGGCAGTATGTCATGTAGTGTCTGTATGTGTTTCTGTTGTCCGAGTTGTCTGTTTATCAGTGATAACTGACAGATACTGGACTTTGACGAAAGCTTGAAGTAAATGATCTGAATTATCCTTGTAGATTTGCCGGACATTGGTCAAGAAAAGAGTATGCCATTTCATATTTTTTTCCATAATTATTTTCTGTGCCTGGTCTTTCCAACTAAACAGGCAAAAACAAGCCACTGATCGTGGACTATAAGAAGTTAAACTTCTCATGCACCTCTGTCAATAGAAGCCCAATACTTAGGCACAGGCAGAGAAACAATTCTCTGTCCAGTAATGGAAATGTGCTCATTTTGGACAGTAACTTGTTTAGACTCAGAAAAAATGGCGACACACAGTACCTGTCAGGACTAGATTTAGGGTTCCCTGATCTTGATTAATATAAAATTGATTACTTCTGTCATGCGATTTAAGCTGGTTATTGTTTGTTTTTTGTTCAGCACGAGTATATTTTTAAATATTCAAATACAGACATGTTGGAAATACTTTTATTATTATTATTATTTGCAACTCACCAGAGAGGTGATGAGAGAGACATAGATGTTGGTTTTGCTGTTTACAGTCTGGTGATCAGCTGTACTTTCACATTAGATGAAACATTAGTGAAGGCACTACAAAGTTGAAGTGGTTGGAAGTCTTTTAAAGCTTTAGCGAGTATCAATTCAATGTCTGTAAAAAAATCTTCGGCAGGATGCTTGGGAAATGCATCGCCCCTCCCTGTTATATCAGCATCCTGAGTATTTGTCCAAAACGTGAAAATGTTTTTGTTGTTGTTGCTGTTGTTGGTAGTCTTGAAAGTATGTCCAAAAGTATGTTTAAGGATTTGCACAGATTTGTCAGTATTTACAAATCGTCAATTTTTAACCTCTGCAGAATTTCAAAGAAGATTTGGAAACAGTGAAAGAACACCTGAAAGCAGAACAAGAAAAGGTTTCTGACCTGAAGGCAAAAGTTTCTGAATTAAAGGTTTGCAGAGTTTTGTATATTTTCCAAGAGATTACGTGTCCTGGAAATATTTCCTAATAGATGCAGACTTTTTTCTTGTGTAATGTACTGTAACAGAAATCATTTCATCATTGAAAAACCTTGGCCTATAATGACATTACTGATTGTAGCCAGTCATCATTAGCACATGGTTTTGTTTTTACTTTCCTTATTTTTGCTTCCAGATGTTTCAGTCACGGCCGAAACAGTGTGGTGTCTCTTGCACAAGACAGGGTTATGTAAATGTAATAAAAAGCCTTTTGTAATCGATTGTCTTTGTTGACACAATTTTCTTATTTCATTTCTAAAGGCTTACTCGTAAAAACAATTTCTAAATGAATCCTTTAGAGACATAAAACCAAACAACAGCATCTCCAGCAAAATCCCTTTTTTTCTAATAAGAGTTTTTTGGGTCTTTTCTGCTGTCCAGGCTGTAAGCACGGAATATACCCAGCAGATTGAGGAGAAAACGGCAGAGGTGTCCCGATCGGAATTGGTGATCCAGCAAAGCAACGAAGAGCTGGAGCGCGTGAAAGAAAGTTTGGCCAGGTATGAAGCTGACACCCGGCACGGTAGAGCTGCCCCCCCTTGCAGACCAGTCGCGTCAGATCTAAGGGTTAAGGATGGCTGGGCCTGGTCAGTACTGGGACTGGAAAACCAGGATCGGAGAGCTGGCAGCCCTAGCCGTGTTTTCTTGCCTTTCCGTATTACTCAGAAGTGGCCCAAACAGCTATGTGAACCGTTTCATCCTCATTGTACTAGTTCCAATTATATTTGAGCTGAATCTCGGTCCAAAAAGATGAATGTCCAGGCCTGTCAGATTCAGGTTAAAGACCTGCATGGTGTAAAGAGAAGAAGTGAAAGTGGGATTTCTCTGGACCCGACTGCCATCCTGAGCTGGGTCTCAAATAAGAAAGACAGTGACTGAAGAAGAGAAGCTCAAGTGCGCGTTATGGATTGTTTTGTATAAAACTGTGGTATTTCTATGAAGTATTCCTCACTTCATGTACAAAAGTTTCTCAAAGTTAGACTTTTTTACCATACTTTTATATGTTTATTGTATTTACGTTCATTTTAAATATAAACCATTTTGTGCTTTTTCCATCTACGTCTATAACTGCAGAAATGGTAAGACTCATAAACGTAGGTAATTGAATTTAATGAGACAGACGTTGTGAAGCAATAGTACACAATATTTTTTTCCAGTGGATAATTTGTAGGTTCTCCCAGGTTTAACTCAAGGATCATGAATAATGTCAACAGATGTGAAAAAATTATAAAATGCATTATTTTTCTGAGATTAATCTTAAATTATATGAAACAAAAACTAGAACATTAAAAAAAACTAAAACCATTGTTAAGACAAACATACTTGACTGCAGACATAGAATCAGTCTATGGAAAACAAGGCCAATGCAGCTCATTAGTGTGAGCTCTTATTTTGTTGTATTTATTAAATAGATTGTTTGTTCTGTAATTTTCTGTAGAGCACAGGAGGCGTTATCATCTGCACAGAAAGAGAGCCAGGAATTAAGTGAAAAACTCAATAACCTCATGACAGAAAAAGAAAAGAATGACCTTCAAATGTCAGCTGAAATCGACGATCTGTACAGAACCAAGAAAAACCTTGAGGAGCGACTGATTGAACTCATCAGGTATGTATCACTTAACTTTATGAAGCAAGAGCCTACCGTGCTCCTTACCATGTTCTTTTCCTTCATTTGTTTTGCCTGCATTAAACACAAATGCAACAATTTCTCATCCTACTTTTACAAAGCTATCTCATTTTTTCTTGATGCTTATATTCCTGTATGTAAGCTCTAAAACTGAAATAATATTCGGTAGAAGATGCAATATGCAGAAGTTCATTTAGGACAAATGATAACATTAATTGTTTCAGTGCAAAACAGAAAAAGTAGCTAACTTAATTTGTAATCTTTTAACGTTGGCCTGGGATGCTTCATTCTCCTGGACTGCTCCTGGGAACTATAATCAAATTCTTGTATCTGTGCTATTAAATGTCCTCTTTCTCAACAAAAAATAATACTGCAATAGTTTGTAAATATCACGTCAGGAAGGCAAATCTTTTAGGCTTGTGCAACGAATAGAGTAGTAAATCTTTAAAAGCTAAGATTGCTGGAGATCCCTAGTTGATAGAAATTAGGCCTTGATTTCCAACAGATACCAAATACAGGGAAAGACGGGCAAAACCGTACCAGCAGAGAGGGGTTAGCGCTGACCTGAACGTTAACAGATGTTACACAAAGACGCATTGGAAAGTCTGGACTGGCTGTTCTGATTTGCACCTCCAGTCATCCTGGTTCGCAGGAGAAAAGGAAGCTAGGTGCCCCACCTCATTACTCAACCCTATCAGGAAGCGCCCTTGTGCCTTTCTAAACGGTGCTCAGAGCTGATGTATGTCTAGATGTACTGTGTGTAGAGAAACTGTGCCCATGGAGTCCAGAAGGACCTGCGTGAACTTCCCCTTCTCCCTCAGGGACAAAGATGCCCTCTGGCAGAAGTCGGACGCCCTGGAGTTCGAGCAGAAGCTGCGAGCGGAGGAGCGCTGGCTCGTGGACAAGGAGGTCAACCATTGCCTCGGGTGTCAGAGTCCGTTCACATGGTGGCTTCGCCGGCACCACTGCAGGTATTTCCAGAGAAAGCTCCCTCGTCGGGTTCACGTCTTACTGCCCCCCTCCGACTGCAGCCAGAAACGAAACTTGTCTCTGCCTTGACAAACTCTGGCAGTGGGTGCCAGAAAAAAAAGAATTATTTAATCCGTCTTCTTTGCTTCTCTTTCATTTCAAACTGAATTTCACCTGTACCGAACCATAGGAGCTCAGCACAATGGCTGATCTTTTTTTAGTTTCATTTCTCAGAGACGGGTAACATTTTAGCAATGCTGCGTCCTAATCATATAGGACTGTACCGATAAGACGTACACAAGCCTTCGCCTAGCTAAGTCTTACGGGTCTTTTTTCCTAATAGTCGTGCTCATCGGAATAAATAGATGAAGCATGAAAATAAGATTTGATCAAAAATGCTGAAATGCTCAGACCTCATTCTAACATTCCCTCCTTCAGACAGAAACGTAAGGATCTGATTCTTCTATTAGATGGGTTATACCCTGTAGATGCCTGTACATTGTAAATCTCAAACAAGGCAGAAAATAATGTGCCATTTTCTGCAAATTACCCAACAATGTCATCCTTTTCTTGCAGCATATTGACACATGCTTGTGTTTTAATGCAGTATTACCAACACTTTCACTGTTTAGATAAGATAAGATCACTCTATTGGCCATATACAATTTCTTGCATTAGGAATTTGTCTTTTCTGCATACCCCAGCTTGCTCTCCATGAGACACACAGACAGAGAGAAGCCTGGGGTCAGAGCGCAGGGTCTGCCATTGTACAGCGCCCCTGGAGCAGTTGGGATTAAGGGCCTTGCTCAGGGGCCTTGCTTCCAGCCACAAGCGCAGATCCTTAGCCACAGATCCACAGCTCCATTCTGTATACAGGGGTAAATTAGAGCTCACTAACAACACACAACATTGAGAGCCAGGACTGGCAGCTGTAACTGTGGTACTGCAGGGATCTAGGCCTTACCCAAGATACTTGGGCATGTGGCTAGCTAAAGTCATGCTGGACTGGAGAGGTTACGTGTGTACACTTACTCAGATTCTAGTCACTACTTCGGATTACTTGGTCAGAGTAAGGAGGCTTCTGTCGTTGTTTCTCATCTTGGAGAAAAGTGTTTTTTTTCCACTTCATGTATTAAAATCACGAACCCTGGATGGACAAGGCTCTTTAATCCAGAGTCTTCCGGTAACTGCTGCCCATTTCGAAAGGTAATGGGTTCCTCTCTTTGCCTTAAGGTTTTGTACGGTATTTTCAAATGGCAGCACGGCGCCGCGCCGGGGAAAGTGAACGAAACAGAAGCCTTGGGTCTGGTCTGTTACTCTTAGATGTGTTCCTGTGGTTTAGGCTCTGCGGGCGGATATTTTGCTACTACTGCAGCAACAACTTTGTGAAGACTAAGCACAGTGGGAAGAAGGAACGGTGCTGCAGGGAGTGCTATATGCAGCACAGTGCGGTGGTAGAAAGGCTCCCTGCGGCCGAGGTGGCCAGCCCTCCGGAAACACCCACCGATTCCCCCAAGGACCTAGGCCAGCTGCCACGGAGACTGACACCCAGCGTCGTAGGTAATCCTGAAGTTCTCGGACCGCAGCACCTTTGCAAGTCACCGCTTACAAATCTACATTAACACCCCAGCTAAACCAGTGTCTTCTCGGGTGGAACAGACCGGCACAGAGCATCACAACCAGAGTATCGGAACAGCTCTACAAGCTCTTAATGTACTTCTCATGTTGTGTCCCTTTCCTCCTTGAATACAAGAGGCAATAAAATGTCAAATGTATGCATTTGTACAGTACATTCATGGAAATGAATGGGCCGTTATAAATATAATGCTTCCTACCCTAACCCTTTCTTCTCAATGGACAGGTAGACGCACAGGTCCTTGGCTTTAGACCTTAATCGTGAGTCATAGTCTTTTGCAGCCGGTCCCTTTGGAAGAAAGCTGTACAGTTGACAGACAATATATATTGGGAAGATACGAGAAAAAGAGCCATGGGGAAAAAATTAAAAATGCAATCGGCCGTACTGCAAAACTGTAGCATGGTACAGTTAGCTTTTGATAGATGTTCTGTTGTTCAACAGATCTTTATAAATATCCACCTTGTTGTATACTCGGTGTCCAGAGCATTAGGAACCCTCAAGCTAATCAATAGAGTCTTGTCAGGTGCAAGGCATGGTTAGTGTGAACATGCTCACGCATCTACAGTAAATCCTACTGAAAAGTACAGTAGTGAACTCACTGGAGCCTGCACATCACCACCCTTGACAAGAATGGGATGGACCTGGGCAGAGCAAATTTCCAAACCTTGTGGGATATTTTGCTCCAGCTCACAGCTCGCAGAGGCTCAACACTGGTTATCTGGTGGCGTTTTCTATTTTTTTTTTGGCCTATGAGTGTATAATAAGTTTGAAACTGACTTGAAACTGGCTTTTAGCATCCGATCGTCCCGTGATCATCTCCACCACTACAGACATTTTTCTGTTTATTTTATTTAAGCTTTATTTAACCAGCAAGTCTCATTGAGATAAAAAAATCTTATTTTCAAGAGAAACCAGGTCAAGAAGGCAGTAAGAACAAAATTGTACCGTACATACTGACATTGAAACGAGTAATACAATAATGTATTGAAACCAATAGCATTATTTCAAGATGGAAAGTCAACATATAATTCCATATAATATCTTTAAAATATTGCAGTATTATCAAACAACATTACAGTTTTTGTAGGCTGTTCCAGGACCAGGCAGCAAAATAACTAAAAGCTTTTTCTTATTCACTACTCATCTTTGCAACTCTGAACTGGAATATAGACTGAAATCTTAATTCATAAGAACATAAAGTATACCAGCAGTAAGCCATGAGGTTAAAATACTTTACATACAGTAGTATACCAGTGCTTTAGTATGCATAATGAAAAAAGATGCGCACCCTACTTTCTTATACAGTTTACAGTCATGTGCTTGAGATTTTGTCTTAGTTTTAAAACGGTGCTGCTTTACACCTAAACAGACAAAACCTGTTTTCTTTAAGGTTGTTAACCGGTGTTTGACTTAGATTTTATGTGTCATTTGCAGTAACAGATGCTGCTCCAAAGCCAGATGATGCTGTCTTTGACATTATCACAGAGGAGGAGGTGAATGGAATTTATGACAGTGATTCAGTGAGAGATTCACCAGATAGTACCAGAGAGATGGAGGGTCAACAGAGATCTCCAGAGGTGTAAGTACTGAGATTCCATTACAATTCATAGAAATACTGTACCTATTTATCATATGAATGTATCAGAACTCACAGTATACATTATGAAAATATATAACATATAACTGTACCCTACAACTATCCGCTTATTAATTTAAATTCACCCACCCACATAATTGGTAACTTCTAGAATATTTTAGTTTATTCAGGGAATAGCTAGTACTGTAGTTTGTAAGACACTTTTTTTGTCTTTTTTTTTACCATATTTGAAGAGTATGTTACTGACCTTTTGTACTTAGTATTTTGACCATAAACAGGGCTGACTGTCAATGTGGTTTTGGTACTGTGACAGGGTGCGATACTGACGGACTACAGTATTTCTGAAATAAGTTGACAGTAAATTGCGAATAACAGCGTTACTGTTTCCACACTGGACTGCAGGTGGGGACTGTTCCAGATTCTAATCTACTGTAGCTCTATACCGTATTTTAAAGTTATTCCTTCTGTTTTTGAGTGCTTGGTTTTTCAGTGATATACTTTCTTTTGTTTCCACTTCATTTTTCTGTTTTTTACAAACAATCGTGAGAGCTCTCATCTTGAATCCATGTTATCCTTTACTTTACTATACTTTTTTCCTTCTCCTGTTTCCCTTTTCCATCTTTTTACCCTTCAGTTTTCAAATGAGAACATTAAACTTGTCATTCACAGTATTAGCAGAACACAAACCACTGTGGTACAGGTGCTAAGAGGATTTTTTTCTTAAAAAGGGGTCTGAACAACTGAACCCATGTGTGTGATGCTGTCACTCTAACTTATTGTACATAACTACTTAACTCTCCCTTCCAGTCTGGCATTGCTCACACTTTCTTTTTTTATCAGTTTAGCCTGAGAATGGGTTTCCCAGTGAAGAAAGCAGATGGTCATAATTCTGACAAAAAGAAATACATAATATATAATATATATATAGATCTATAATATATAATCTATATACAGTATATACACATGTACAGGTATTTGGGAGCCATTGAATGCCTCCGAATTGAGGTCCATTTTTTTTTTTTTACAGATGCTTACATTTTAGGAAAACAAAATACAGCTCTGAGACACAGATCACAAAGCATGTAAAAGAGAGTGTATAGAAAAACATCAAGCCCTTAAAATATCAATGTTGTCTTTTTGGTAGTCGGTAACATTTTGTGTGTATTCAGCAATCAGTGGACATGTAGGATTTCCCAGGTTTCCTCCCATCTTCCCAAGGCGTGCTGACAAAGTTCCGTACGTGTCTGTACGCTGCCTCTGTGTACGTGCCCTGTGACGGCCTGGCATCCTATCCAGGAGGCATTACTGCTTTGTCTAAGAGAGATTCCAGTTTACTGCAGCCCTATATTGGGATAAGTAGCTTCGAGTCAGGGAAGAATGAATGGGTTTTCAAAGTCCAGTACATTGAGAACTATTTTTAGTCCCAGTGCTAATGTGGGGATTTATGGATTTTCCAGCTCCGAGGTTCACTGGGCATGTTCTGAAATAATATGCTGCTATATGGATCAAAGTTTTTGTTTCTGCTTCGAGCTGAGCGACAGGTTATAGTGAAATTTCAAAAGTGTTGAGTGCTGGTTCTCATTCTTCTCTTTTTCTTCTTTGTATACGAAAAAATTTGGCTTTGCAAACTGTTGATCAAAACCTTTTCTTACAATTACATTGTTAGTGAGCCGTTGGCCCTTTTTACTTATCACGGTGGAGTGGAGCTTTCACATCCGAAAATGTCGTATAACCTGTGTATCTACTACCTGAGTAACTTTTAACAGCCAATATTGTCTATAACTATTGCTCAGTTGTCTGATCGTGCTTAAATGCAAACATTTTGGCAGCTGTAATGTGTGGCATGATGCCTTCCCATGCACTGTGACAACATAATCCCGTTTTCACCTTCATGCAACTCAACTCTCTGTGATTATTAGTCTTTTGTACTCTTTGTTTGATGTATAGGGTAATTTAAATTTAGGAATGATCTCTCATTGCTCTTCATACAAATGACAGCTCCTATTGTAATAGAATCAGTCTTTCACCTATGCAGCTATATCCCTCTTGGCAAACATTTAGCAAACATGTTAAAATTAATTTTATTACTCTTACCTCCTCTCGTTTATAAATCCAGTGTATTTGATAAAGAATGGCTTTGTGAAACTGCTTTAGCTTTTTCAGACCTCATTAAACACTTGGAAAATAATTCTTTGATTCTCTGTCTAAATCTGTCCCAAAGCAAAGCGTATATGATGGGGTTCACACAGCAGGAGAAGGTTGACAAAACATAAGTGATTTCTAAACAGCTGTGTTCAGTTTGAGTAAAGGCAGCTGTCAATATGCACAACTGCCTGGGTGCCTGAAGAAGCAAAAAGACAGATATAAGCGCACACACTATTCTGTAAACTTGTTGTTTTCTCAAAATAGATGTCTGGCAAACCTTTATAACTAACACTATATAGCAGAACAGTATAATTAACAGTGGAAGGAAGAATGTTAGTGTAAACTGTATTCCCAGGGTTATAAAACCAACAAGTTTCAGGTCGTGACCAGGTTCACATTGCTGCGTCTGATTATTTACAGAGTATATGAAAGGGTCAGGCAGGGCATTCAGAAAAGCACTTAGCCATATGATGAAGAATGCAGTTTTTCTGCAGAGGCTGAAAGTGGTCCTCCTAGCTGGGTTTGTTTTCGATCTGACAATGGCAAAATACCGATCCATGGAAATGGAGGTCAGGAAAAGGACGCTGGCAGAAGAGGACACCTCGTTTATCCAGGCACTAATTTTACACACAACGTCTCCATATTTCCAGCAGGTAATGTTTTCTGACAGATATAAAATATTTGTGAGCACCAAAAGCAGATCTGAAATGGCGAGATTCAGCAGGTTGGCATCAGTGACTGAAGGTAGTTTCCCGAGACGAACATATACTGTAATGACAAGTCCATTTCCAATAGCGCCAAGAATAATTGTGATAGTGTACAGGGCAATGTACCCCTCTTCAGCTTCCATATGGTCATTGCTTGCGTTTGACATTGAGATGATGCAGGTGATGGCAAACCCCTGGTAAAACACAAAAACATCACATGTTCCAAACATCAGCTGTTGTTATACAGTATGTACCGTATGAGTTAGAAGCCTCTGAGTTTTAAAAGACAAAAACTGTGGCGTGACAGTAACCCCAAAGGATGTTTCTAGATTGTGTAGACTTCGCGGAGAACGAGAGGAAACGGCGTTTTTAAACAGAAAGCAGAAAGAGTGTGTGACTGACTTTTAAGGGCATGTCATATGAACTCCATATGGGAGTTTTAGGGTTAAAAACGCAGATTTCCCCGTGCAGCACTTTAGGAAAAGGCTGGTTTATACATTTGATTCCAGTAACCGTTTTAGATTATATTATGTCACAGAATAACCATTGTGCTTTACTTTAAGCCTCTAGTGACTGAGCAATGAGCCAACCTTTATATATTTGAAACAACTTGCTTGGACAGAGCCACTGCTTATTCTAGAGCTCATGTCAAAGCCAAAACTTTATAGTTTCACCCTTTACCTTTCAAGGCGGAAGGAGAAACATTTGAACATGGAACATAGTATGTGGGTTATGTCTGCAGTCCTGTAGCATGGGAACTTGTTTTACACTATGACTTTGACTAAGGTCTAGTTTAGTGCCTCAAAAAGCAGCTTTTACTTGCTTTTGCAGAGTTTTTCCCTGTGGTAAAAATGTCTGAAACTAAATTTTCCTTATGCACATGGTCTCTTAAGGAATATGCAACACTTGCATGTCAATAGTTTGAAGATATTTTCATATTTCATATTCTCTTCATAGTCTCCAGTTTTATTCATGCATGCAATTGATGTTCACCTTGTTACCAAGGTTTGACTGTAGGTTTGGGAGTGTTGTGAGAAAAAAAAAAACGTATTTTCACAGAGTTTGACAACTTTCCTAAACAGGAATGAGCTGTTTTTCATGTTTTGTGTGCTGTACATTTCTCTGGAGTAGCAGATAAAGCACAGTGGAGGGTTCACCCACCTACCACCCTCCAGAATGAGAATATTAGTGAGAGACATTTAGAAAAATGTACGCCGATGCTTGGAAAGGTAAAGACCCCTGTCTTTACTATTTAAAGACGCTTAAAAAAATAGGACAAGTTTGCCAGCTGCCATATCGCCCTGCAACTCACAACTGGCAGCCCACTGAAGCTCAGCGGGTGTGAGCCTGGTCAGTACCTGGATGGGAGACCTCCTGGGAAAAACTAAGGTTGCTGCTGGAAGAGGTGTTAGTCCGGCCAGCAGGGGGCACTCAGCCTGCAGTCTATGTAGGTCCCAATGCCTAGAATACTGTAGTAACAGGGACACTATACTGTAAAAACACGCTGTCCTTCTGATGAAACATAAAACCAAGATCCTGACTCTGTGGTCATTAAAACTCCCAGGGAGTTTCTCGAAAAGAGTAGGGGTGTAACCCCGGCTTCCTGGCTAAATTTCCCATTGGCCCTTACCGATCATGGCCTCCTAATAATCCCCATTATGAACTGGTTTCATCACTCTGCTCTCCTCCCCACTGAGAGCTGGTGTATGGTGAGCGCTCTGGCGCACTCTGGCTGCTGTCACATCATCCAGGTGGGGGCTGCACATTGGTGGCGGTGGAGGGGATCCCCATTACCTATAAAGCGCTTTGAGTGGAGTGTCCAGAAAAGTGCTATATAAGTGTAAGAAATTATTATTAGATTCTTAATAGATATTAATTACAATAAATCTGGTGTCCTCTGTGAAGTGAAGTCATTAAAATACACCAGTGTCATTGAAATAGTGCATTTTCCTTCAGCAAGCTTCAACTAATCTTTTGTAATTTCAACTGTGTTTTCATTATTTGTTCTACATTCACCGAAGGAAACATATATATAAAATATAAAAAACAGAAATTGAATCAGAAAACGTACGTCCCAGTACTTGTGGGTTGTTGATCATAATGATGCTGCAGTTTGTGCTCCCTTGTGACTTTGAGTCACAGCTTTGGGGGTGTATTACTCAAAAGAAGTAAGAAGAAGTGCAAAAGGATGTGAACTTGAAGAACGTCGTAACTTGCCTCATTCATATTGCAAAGTAAAAATCCATGTTGTGTATCTGAGGTGTTGTGGTAAGAGTTCATGTTTAGCCATTTATTTCATGAATCTCTTGTGTTTTTTGTGCCTCAAGATTAACTGCAGTATTTCTAATCCAGCTGTTTGGAGTGATTTAATGTTGCAACAAAGTTAAAGCATTTTTTCCACCTAGAATAAATTTATCAAAATATTCACATGGAAATACATGGATGATATGAAGATAAGAAGATAAGCTATTTTTTAAATTATTACCAGGAATAGCAAATCTGTTTTAACTTTAACTACTTTAAACCTGACAAAAAGTTGTCAGAAATCAAGCTAGACTGTACCACAGCGGGAAGATTAAGCTTGTTGATATAGTCTGTCTACAAATGGAGTTTTCACAATTTTGAAGATTAGACATAAAAGAGTATACAGTTATTGTACTATATGTCCATCTCAAGCCCCGTGTACCATGAAATACCGTGCTGCATTTCACGTTTGATGTCAGTTCACTGGTTGACAAAAATAAAACCGAGTAAAGTTGTTACTTATTGTGTTTTATGCGCAAAGCCAAGAAGAAAAGTGAACATTATCACTGAATTTCCTGTCATAGATTTGTTAACTTCAAATACAGTCATCATCTTCATCAATACAACAGCCTACAAAAGAAGTCATTAAGCCTATTTAAGAAAGATAACTTGACAGCTTACCTCTTGGCTTACAGTATGTTGCTGTAGTAGGCAGTTGCAGTGTACTCTGGAAATGTGGTCTGACAGACCGTGAAGATACTGTTGCCACAGGCTTGTAAGCACTTCCGTAGTGTAGTCTGAATTTACGTATTGTACAGGGCGAGAAAGTATTATATCATTATGATCATTAAAATGCACAGGATTGCAGAACAAATGACGATATGTAAATTTGTGACCACAGGTTTAAGTATACACACCTTCAGACTGCTGAAACACCTGTAAATGTAATTAATCTGTTTATTAAATGTAATAAAACTAGTACAAATAAACCATAGGTATATGTCTACTGAGTGAATTGAGCAGACTTCCCCACAAGGAACTATATTGAGCAACTATGTTATGAGCAGCATTTCATCCTATTAGAAGTAGTTAACATATTCAAGTGAATTTATTCATCTACAATAGTTATTTCCAGCACCTCACTGAACACTAAAGTGCATGTCAGTCTGCAGTGCCCTCCAATAGCAAGTCAAACTGTTCTGTATCTGTGATTATGTGGTCAATACAAATGATAAGTTCAGTATAATATGTTTTATTATAGGGTAATTCCATGCACATGTTTAATCATATTGGGACAAAAACATGCTCAAACTTGGGATTTCATGTGACACTAAGGATTCAGACACATTCACTTGAAGTGAATTTCAAGTACTCCTCTGCAATAATAACTGCGGTGTCTGCAGCCCTTTCAGCTCACAAAACAGCAGATTGATATCAAATTAAGTGTGTATCTAGCATTCTAAATACAAACGTGAAGTCAGAACACCTCACAAATATGCAAGAAAATCTCTGTAGCAAAGAATCTCAAAATCATGAAGACAAACAAGGTCATATAGCTTATTGTGCAATAGGAAATTGCATATTGTGATTCTACAGGATATGGTAACAGTTTGAAAGTGAGATGTCATGTTACTTTTAATTGCACACAGGTATTTTCGGAGTCTTACGGTTGTAGTGACCATAATAAACTTGTAGGCTGCCGTTTTTTTAAAAAATATCAATACTCAGTATGCTTCTGATCCATTCCTTTCATGTGTTTTCTTGTCCTAACTAAAAAAAAATGCTTCTCCTGTTCCATTGGAATTGTTGTCTGTGCAGAATGTTTTGTTCTCAGACTGCAATAAACATTAACCATTTAAAAAACTGTAGATTTCCTCACAGGACATGTTATGCCAGGAGTTAATGCAGGGGTTCCAAATTGTTCATGAGTGTGATTAGAATTAGAAATGCCAAAATTCAGTAGCTTGCGTTTTCTTTTAGAAATGCAGCCGTGGGTGAGTCCACTCCTGATGATCTAGGTGAGCAAATGCCCACTGTGCAAGATGCTGAGATCTGCCTCCTGAAGTCTGGAGAGCTGACGTAAGTGAAAATCTACATCTTTCCATTACCTTGGCAGCCTGCATACTGGTTATTTACCACTCTGGTAATTTTTTCAGCTACAGAAACGGGTGTGATGAAGTGATGGTCTTAGTGATAGTAATAGTAATGTCCCCCAGGTGCTTTCTTGACAGCCTGAACTTTGTTGTTAATTAAATGTTTTACAATTCCCATGAAAAATATACAGCCCACCACCAAATGTATAGATCTTTCACCATGAATTACTTTCAGATGTAAACACATAATTGTGTCTTCTGTTATTGATGAAATCTCCGATTTAGATTTAACTGTGGATTGGACTTCGTCTGACGGTGAAATGTTCCAGCTGGCCTCAGAGGCGGTTCCTACAGGGACATCCCAAGTGGCTTAACCAGTAAAGACACTTGTTTCCAGTGCAGGGTGAGCTCTGGGGCCCAGATGTCACCTTGAGCCAGGGTCATGTCACTTACAGACTGACCTGGTTTCTCCAAGTGGCTGTGCACTCAGTGCTTTCAGGCATAGTTGGGCTTTTCCCTCCCTGTGTGGATGGTTTGGGATTAACTGGGCTGGGCTTTCTGAAAAAATTGCGACGTCTGAGACTTGCCAGGCATCACCACACGTGACCTGACATCAAGGAGAGTCCTGCAGTCTCCTCCAGTCACAGTGAACTGTGCTACTTCGGCATGTCAAATAACAAAAGGCATGCCTTCGCATCCCATTCTCTCCCGAGTCATTACTGGAGAACCAAGTCTTCTAAACTGTTGATGGTTCAAGATTGGTGGGAATGTAATAGAAATTATTTGGCAATTCCATTAAAAAAAAAGTTTCTTTCCAGCGTATTTACAATGTTGTTCTGTAGTTTCATTTGAGGACAAACTAGCTGTAGTCAATGTGGTTTCTTTGTGTTTCATTTGGTTTATGTTGGAAATCTGCTGGTTTTCCTTCAAATGGTGTAATTCTCAGATACTGAGGTTCAGTAGCTACGCAGCCTTCTGTTCTTTTTCTGTCCTGTTTTGTCCCTCAGTTCACACCAGAAAAGGAGGCTGTTCTCACGGCAATCGCTGTTGAACTGCCCCATTACCACTGTCTTGCTGTATAGCAGTGAGGTACACAGAACTGACCCAGCCCAGCTAGGAAGAGTGAGTCAGAGCGAGTGCAATGAGGAAGTTATTGGCAGTATATTCACAGGCAGGGTCTGTAAGTGCTTGTACACATACTGTAACTCAGTTTCTCTTCTTCAGCAAGGATTTTTCCAAACAGCGTTTCAGTAATAGGTATCTAAAGAGGAATTGCAGAGTAACAAGTAAAACTTGCTGCTTCTCTTCCACAGACCAAACTAATATCTCCTCAAGTGAAACCCAAATGTTTTAAACTAGTAGTAAATGGAGAGAAAATTCTTGCACTTTGTATGATTTATGACAAATTTAAAGAACCTGCAGAACCTTACTTCATAAGAGACACAGAGACAGAACACCGAAAAGAGCAAAACCCTATGTTTTTGTTACACTTTTATCATTTTGCCTACTTATAGTAGTTATAAGAGTTGCAGGCAGCCATTTTATTATTGTACCTGAATGCAACTAAGGATTTTTTTCAGAAGCTTGAATCAATCTTAAATTTCCAGCTGAATAGTCATTGCATCTCGATATTTCTCTTCTCACGCTTTTCTGATGCTCTAACTCTGAGTTGCAAGAAGAGCAAAACAGCTTTTCATATTCTTCAACAATGTTTCTTGTTCAGTGGAATCTATTGGCCCACATGTACTACAATACATGTGGATCTGTGCTGACTAAAATAATACAGAGAACTATGTTAAGCGTTAGAACAAGAGCTTTGTCCCATTTTGTTCTAAATTTCTCTAGGGGACAATAAAGCTTGAATTGAATTTTGTCACTTTTTTAACGATTTACTGTCATAGGCCTGCAGAGGCAAATTCCACCTGGAATTTGGAAGTATAGACAGTAGAGGTGTGCTTTAGGGCTTAAATTTAAGATGGTTGAAAGGGAGACAAAATATTGTCCAGTGGAGTTTTCCAAAGCAATAACTGCTGGAGTTCAATGATGTTCTAACATTTTGAAGGATTATTAAATAATAATATTGATTTGCACGAGCTTTATTGAATTGTACTATGAATGAAGATGCATGGATCTCTCCAGTGAGAAGCAACCAAAATGTATTCATTTTATCCTCGTCAAATGTCAGTTTTCAAAACAGCATTTGCATTTTGTTTCTTAGTTTTTTCATAGCAGTTTTAAAGTGAAACAATTCAATTTGTAAAAAGCACCCCTTGGTGAACCAAAATTTGAATTATAAGCAGTTGCAAAGATATCTCACTGAGGGGGTCAAACAAGTTAACATTTAGGCTGATAATGTTTTGACATCTCTGGAATATATTGAAATACCAGTGACTGAAAGGTTGTGGCTCACTTTCATAACTCACTAAAGCTTCTGGACTTTTCTAAAGATATCTTCTCTTCTAGGAGATTTTTAGATATGGTGCTTATCACATCTTGATGAGGGAAGCCTATTTGTTTTTTGCTTGCTAAATTTTAATGCCTTATTTTTTTCATTCTTTCCATCTGTAGACTAACGGTTCCTTTGACCATCGAGACGATCATGCAGTTTGGAGAAGGAGGCAGAGAGCTGTTCATCAAGTCCAGTGGCTACAGTGTGATCCCTATTGATGTGGAGGAAGCTGGTCCTACAATCAGCTGGGTGTTTTCATCTGAGCCAAAGAGCATTTCCTTTAGTGTCGTGTATAAAGAATCTGGAGATTCCCCAATAGAACAGGCCAAAGTAAGCTCATTCTGGTTCTGTCTCACAGTTCATTCATCTTCTGGTTCATGTGTGTTTAGTTTATTACTGATGTCGAAATTAAGTTGTTGATTTTTCAAAAATTGTTTTATAATTAGTGTTATTTTTATCAACTAGTCTTGACTGAAAATAAAAACATAAGATGAGTCCATTCTAATACAATTGTAGCTGTTGATCTTAAATCTATATCCAAAGTGTGTCTCAAAAATGTCCCGTTTTAACAGGTTTTAATTCCCTTGACCCGCTGCAATTCTCACAAAGAGACCATTCAAGGACAGCTGAAAGTCAGGAATCCAGGAACTTACATGCTCATTTTTGACAATTCATTTTCAAGGTAAATTTTCTATGTACAATAAAAATAGTTTATGCTGATCAAGCTTTCAGACCCAGGATTAACGGAGTGACACTTGAGGATAGATGTGTCGATCAGGGAGATAGCTGACTTCAGAGTAATCCAGAAAAACATGGGTATTACACAACACAGGTGCCAAAACTGTTCGCTGATTAGTCCAGACATACTCTCTGTCCCCCATGCCAGTGATCTGAAGCTAAAGATGCAATGTAATAGTGTGCACTCACACATGGCAAGAGCTGTGTGCTGAGGAGCTTAGGACTTGTTACCCACTCACCTTATAGACTGTTTCTCACACTATTTGGCCCCATGAGCAAAGGTAGATCACACCCTTCATTCTTCAGTGCTGACAGACAAATAAAAGGAGTAGCTCAAGATCCAACAAACTCTGATCATGATCATTGCCCTGATCATTTTACTATCAGGGTCAACCAAAGCCTCCTGAAACAGTAGCAGAGTATAGCAGCTCTGCAAGGAGACTGTTGAAAAAATTCAAGTTGTCCTCATCTGAACGATTGCCTTATTCATTTTATTTACTGACTTAACGTATTGTGTTTCTAGCTTTATTGTAGCTCAAGGCAAGGTTTCTCCATCACCTTAATAATGGAGAAATGGTGTAACTAGTTTCTTTTTCATTCTTGCACTTTTATACACTAACAAATATATAAATTGTATGATTGTGTCTGTTTTTTTTTTGTTTGCCTATTTTGATTGCCATTTATTCTGGATTCTCTTTTTTTTTATAGATTCATCTCAAAGAAGGTTCTTTACCACTTGACTGTGGAGAAGCCCATAATCTACGATGGAAGTGACTTTCTATAATCTGAGAGATTTTCACGGCGCTTTGTTTGACTTGTTTTTTATTCTCTCTCTTTCTTGTGTTCTTTGGTAGGATTGTGTAATTAAGGGGTTTTATAGGATTGTGGCTGTCTTCTTATGGAGACCACTATTTATAGACAAAGCCTAAAGGCTATGTAATATACTGTAATGTGTCACTCATGCACTACCAAAGGTCTATAAAACCTGAAACAAGTAATCTATGCAACATTAGTTTTACAAAGACATTTCCATATCCACAAATATTGACTATTCAGAGTGGTGTGCGAAACACAAATCGCGATGGATCGGGTTGCACTGAAGTATACATTTTTAACCAGGCTTCTCAAATATGTTAGTAGAGTAGGTATATTATTGGTGTTTTTTCAAATAGAAAAAATACACTAGGAGAATTAGATCAGACTTTAAAGACATAAACCTCTTTATGAACTACATTACATTTGTTTTCTAAATAATCCAAAGTGATTCAATATGTACAGAAGTAGTAAATACTACGAAGTAGCCATACTTTTTTCTGAACGGTTTTAAGTGTTTATTCAGTGGCTAATTCGGAGATTAAGAATCCAAGCAGTCTAGAACAATGTTGCAAACACTTGCTCCTGTAATTATTTTGAAATATCAAATCTTAAGTTTTTATAACTCATTGCTTTCTTCAAAATGTAGACATTTCTTGTGTTAAGATGCACATTTTTTACATAGCAGTTTATTACACTTACTCAACTGAAGTTCAGACAAAAAGTATGAAAACAGGACATTTAACAAAAGCGGGTGATATTTTAGTATCTGTTTAAAAAGACTTGGAAGAGGCAGTCACTGCTGTGTGTCACCCATGTATTTTAAGGTTTACGTAAAGTTAAATTGGAGATGTCTGCCAGGTTTGTGAAATATCGCAAAAATCTAAAGGTAATATGGCTATCTTTTGTACAAGCACTATATACAATGCAATTCCGTTACCTACTCTTTCAACCATTTAAGCACGTTCCTACACTGTAAAAATACATGTGCTTGCAGTGGGATTTATATAGATAAAATTATTTGGGAATAGTAGTACTTTCATTATTCAGAGTAGATGGTATGTTATTCATATTTATTTGTTGCTACATAGGTGATGATGGTTTTGTAGCTTGGAATATTGGGGGTAGTTTTTAATAGCCAACTAAAGCATTTAAGACTAATTTTCTTGTGTTTATGAAATCTGACAACACTAAGTGACTGTTTTGAGTCTGTTTTCTGGCTAACACTGCCCTATGAGGATAAACCCAAAGTCTTTTTTTGAGAAAATTAATACTCAGATATTTGAATTTTCTCGAATACTGCATCTTTTACAGTGCAATTCCGTTACTGTATTACTTAATCGATTTTTTATATATATATAAACACACAGTTGTTTCCATTTTCCAACATTTTAATGGTTTTCTAAATTCAATGCTGCTTTATATGAAAATGGATATATACAATATATATTTATAAAATACTATATATTTTTTATGAAAGCCACAGCTTTATGCTACACTTTGGGAAAAGTGTTGATTTATGCACTCTTGCACATTTTAAACAATGTTCTAAGCATTATTCTAAAGCCTAAACTTACTCAAGACAGTTAAGTGAGGCAGGTTAATTGTTAAAAAAAAAACTGACATGGGTTTCACTGGGGGACACTGTGAGCAATATTCTGCCTCTGTGGAGACATGGTGTATGAGATCTGTCGATGGTGTCGGAGAGCAGGGGTAAATTCAGCCATAAAAATAAAGGTGTCTTTGTAACAGTATTTCCCTGGTTCATTTGTGTTTGGTGTAATGTGAAAAGGATGGTGAAACTTTTCAGTGAAATGTACAGGCTGGGTGTTACAGTATGTAGTAACATACATACATGATTGAAAACCTGAAGCTTGCAGGCACCCAGGGAAGTTTCAGTTTGCTGGAACCCGAGAGCTCTGGTGAACTGTTTCAATGAGTATCACCAAATTATTGCCCCCTGCAAGTGAGAGCCAGGATTATCAATTTACCATCTAACAAGACGGGCAGTGAGCTGCTGTGTCTTCTGATGACGGGAATCCTGAAAGTGAAGAGAAGAGAGTTACTATGACTCATGGGCAAGTGATGCATTGTAATGACTGTGTATTCTGTGTAAGCACTCAGAATGGGTTTTTTTAAAAAGATAAACCAACCATTGTAAGCCAGAAAGACCAGTATAAGACTACTGAAAGTGTGGCTTTCCCTTATGAGAAATTTAATTTGTTAAAACACTGTTTTGTGGATTGTCCATAAAATTAGTAAATTAACCTGTTTTTATGGAGCACACAACAGGTCAGAATAAGGCTTTGGCTCAAACCCGTATTTGAAAATTGGCCTCGATTAATGACTAAATACAGTGCCTGGCTGAGATGCCTATGAGGAGAGGTGGGTAGCTCCACTTTTGCTTTCTGAAAAGGTGTGGCGGAGCTAGTTCGGACATGGTGACGTTATTGCCCTCCCTGCGTGTAGCAGGGACCTCAGCTGCCTGGGCTGAGGGAGGTCTCCTTCAGCTCATGCGGCTGGTTCCCTGTTGCATCACGCCGGGCGTTGCGGGCCGAAACGGGCGTAGGAGGGCACGAGGGCAAGGTTGACATCTATCTGAGTCGCAAGGGCCTGAGCGATCACCTCCCTTTAAAGGTTGCAGATCTTTCTGAAATATCCACTGCTTAGGTCCTGGGAGGGAACCGAAGTATGCAGTCAGTGAAGAAGAAAGGTCATGTCCTTCATGCCACACCTGTAGTCTTATAGAAGGGAGGATCTGGGATCACGGTCGGTGAGGAGCAGGAAGTCGGCGCACAGTGCGCTGACAAGGCAAGCAGGCACACAAAGCTTTGCTCGGCACAGAGAAGCTGACAGGACCATTCACAGAGAAAACCCACAATGACAGAGCTGTAGAGCAGAGGTAGGCAGGACTTTAAATGCCACAATATAGATGTTAATGAGGTGATTATCTGTGAATTAGAGGTGGGGGACACTGATAGTCATCTATACCGTGTGCAGACAGCCCCCCTGTGGCAGCATCAGACATCTGTGAAAACCCAGGAGGGTGGGTTGATAATTCCCACAGTATTACAAACTGTAATCTTTAGTTAAGGAAGAAGGCTGGGGAGTGATGAAGCCCAGACAAGATAGTTTACATACCACCTACTGACACCAACCAAAAAGCTACAACATTAAAAGGATGGAGGACAGCAGGTGAGGATCTCTGTTGCAAAAGAGTAATGTATTTCAAAATTTAATGCTAAGAGCCGAGAAATCCCTAATATGTTTGGCCTAGAGACTTGCTTGGCTGCTGTTGGGAGCGTAACTTCGGTTTTAGCGCAGTTTAGCTGAAGAAAGTTCTTTTTTTCCCCAAATCTTAGTACCAGACAGGCGGCTATAAAGTGTTGAGACTGCAGCAGTAGTCTCGGATTGCAAGGAAATCCGAGTTTGATTACCACACCAATGAAACCCAAGTCCAAAATAGCAATGAATCCGACTAGGATGCAATTTGTACTGTATTTGTAAAGGTCCCTGCACAAACATGGAACACCCTACCATCATCAGATGGAAACAGTCAAAGTTCATGAATTGTCTCCTAGAAGGAGGAAATATCAGTTATCACTAGTTTTTAATCAATAAGGTACTCAAAACCTTGCAAGGCCTGGTTCACTGCTGTGTCTTTGCCCAAACCCTGACTGGAACAAACACTTGATTACAAACACCTCTTTATCTGACTGGATACAAACTCCTCATTAACTGCAAGATAAGACCCTTGAGTTTTATCTCATACCATTAAGATAAGACTGCAACTGAGCTGCAACCAATTGATTGCAATTGTTTACAAGAGAGGAACAACTGGAAATAGCACTGTTAATAAGGTCTTGAGGGTTAGGTCAAGGTTATCTTTACACATTTAAGACATTAGGCAAAACAACACCAGAGTTTGGGAAGTCACAGATGTGATCAGTAAGAAATAGATGAGAAAAAAGAAATGAGCTTTTCAGTACAGCTGTAGAAATAGAATCCACAGTACTTGTACTGGTAGTAGCTTTTTAGTTTAGCTCAGTCCTATAATGGGCATCACAAAACCACAGAAAAGAGACAACCTCAAACATGTTAGAGCAGAAGTGGGTGTAGTCGATAGCTGACATGATTGCAAAAAGGTGAGGTCAGCTGCTGGTTCCTGTGTATTTCTATGTTCTGAAAAAAATGCTTCAATGTCTTAGGGGAACAGTAAACTGATCTGGTATGAGATTATTTTTCATGGTGAAGAAGAGTATTGTAGGATTGGTGCAATTATTCTGGGAATAGGCAGAGGATCAGGCATCCCTACAAGCATTCCTGTAAAATAGCTGATGCTATGCGTCCACCTACAGTATAAGTGAGCAATCAGCTTTGTGTTCCTGGACAAACACACAAAGCATTGTCCTGCAAGTTCATAGAACCCAGCTCATCTGTGTACCAGGGGGAAGGAGAAGCACAAGAAATTTGATGAATCTTGTTAGTAGATACAGTAGAAAATGTACACCACACAGAAATTGTGAAAAATAAACAGAAAAATCCACTGATTGTTAACAAACTCCACTGAGAAATAGAACTTTGTTATTTACTGTAGTAACGGAGTATTAAGGAGAACAAGAATTTCAAGAGACAAGAGTTTCAAGAAATAGAGACAATATGTGTTGAAAATTTGGGAAGGTGTTGAATCACGAGGGTCATAGGTTCAAAGAGCACTAATGTTCACAGTGAGAGCCGTTTTAGACACCAACCTGCTGTTTATCCCCCATGTTGATACAGATGCCTGTGGGGAACTCATGGAGTTTGACAATAATCACAACTTTGTTTAGAAACAAAGTGGTGGGATGAAAACTTAATCGCCTTGAGACAGAGTGAAGGGTTATGATGGCACCAATGATCCAAACTTGGCCAGCAGCCATATCACCCTGCAATTCACAGCTGGCAACCCTGTGATGTTCAGCAGGTGTGAGCCTGGTCAGTACCTGGATGGGAGACCTCCTGGGAAAAACTAAGGTTGCTGCTGGAAGAGGTGTTAGTGGGCCCAGTAGGGGGTGCTCACCTTGCGGTCTATGTGGGTCTTCATGCCCCAGTATAGAGATGGGGACACTATACTATTAAAAAAGGTGCCGTCCTTTGGATGAGATGTAAAGAGGTCCTGACTCTCTGTGATCATTAAAATTCCCAGGGTGTTTCTCGGAAAGAGTAGGGGTGTAGCCCGGCGTCCTGGCCAAATTTCTCATTGGTCTTTACCAATCCTGGTAATAATAATCTAATATATCTAATATCTAATATGCTAATAATCCCCATCTCTGAACTGGCTTCATCACTGGGTTCTCCTCGCCACTGATAGCTACATTCTGCTCACCCCACAGCAGCAGGTGGATGCTGCACATTGGTGGTGGTGGAGGGGATCCTTATTACCTGTAAAGTGCTTTGAGTGGAGTGTCCAGAAAAGCGCTATATGAGTGTAAGCAATTATTATTATTAAACTGTACCTCCAGTCCGGAGTAAACGCAATATCTACCATAGACCCCCTGGTTCAGCAGTACCAGTCATCAGGTAAAACCAGAACAATGCAGACATTACAAGTTATAATTAGAAAGTATTTTGTTTCTGTTTCAAATATAGAATATAATTTGTGTGATTACACATCCAAGTGTGATACTGTGGTAGATACCATTCTGCTGACAACAGAAAAAGCTAAAGTGAAAAAAGAATTAATTTGTGTGAGATTTGTGCATTTGCATTTTGAACCATCAAGTCCCTGTTATAAGACCTTGGTGAAAATGCACGTGGTATTTTTCTTTACATATCTGGACACTTAGGGTAGAGAAATGTGAGTCACCCAGTGAGGGCCATGGTTCTCCATGTTTTCATTGAGAAACTGATTAACACCTGGGGATAAAAAGGGGCTAATGAATTGCTTTTTGAAAAAAAAATGTTTGGATTAGTTATGGTCAGTGTTGGAATGAAAAAATCTCTTGAGGAGAAATTATGCCCATATGATATATTGGGGCGGAGCGGTGTCTCTGTGGCTCAGGATCTGCGCCTGTGGCTGGAAGGTTGCCGGTTCGTATCCCGCAGCCGACAGAGGAATCCTACTCCGTTGGGCCCCAGAGCAAGGCCCTTCACCCAAACTGCTCCAGGGGTGCCGTATAAACGGCTAAACCTGCGCTCTGAGCCCCAGCTTCTCTCCCTGTCTGTGTGTCTCATGGAGAGCAAGTTGGGGTATGTGAAAAGACAAATTCTAATACAAGAAATTGAATGGGGCCAATAAAGTGATCTGATATTGAAGCAGTCACACTCCCTCAGCTCTTGCTGTACCATATATGGAAACAATAGTGACATCTACTGGCTAATACTACTGTATCAAAAAACCTGCTGGTCTGGAATGTCATACATGCTTGCAATAACATTTGACATTTAGCTCTGTAGGTCTTGGGAACTGTTTTTATTTTGTTATATCTTTCTAAGGAATAATTGCAGGATTTGGTAAAGACTTTCTCTCTCAAGAGTTTAATAAGTGCTGACTGAAATTGAACACAGTTGTATGTCACAGAAGGTGATAGTTGTTTAGCAATAACATTATCTAGGGTGAATTCCAGAGCATAAAATACAACACAATATTAGTGCAATAATGTCATAGTCCCTTTACAATGCAGGTCAGAGCAAAGGTAATATTAAAGCACAAATGCACATCAGGTCCAATCAAATTACAAATCAATTAGCAATATTGTGTTGCACTAAACAAGAT